AATCTGTTTTCTTCGCTCCATAAGACGCACAGACTTTCCACCCCCCCTGTTTTGTGGGGAAAAAGTGTGTCTTATGGTGCAAAAAATACGGTACTTCTGAATTTTAGCCATAGAATAGAGAAAGAGACCTCAATTCTGTTTGTTCAACTAAGAAGGTTGGTGATTAGAAGATTGCTCAGAGTGAAATAGATCTGGAAACAGAGAAGATGTTAAGAGCTAAGTATGGGGGGGGCAAAGAGTACAAATGGAAGTGGCATTTTTGAGCAGACTACTCCAGAAATCTTGATATCTTTGTGAGTATAAATGGTTATATTGTTAATGAATATTTTTCTCTTTCCAATAAAGAACAGTAGAAATATTGCCCAAATATGAATGATTAACTTGTTAATCTGAAAATAGTTCACTACATAATGATGTTGTAATTATCCATTTCACACGGTAAATAACCAAGCAGTCATTAGTTTTCTGTTATAACTGTAAAACTAACTTGAACAGTTGTTTTTCTGAAAATGAAACCTTTGTCTGGGCTGCAAAGATGAAGGTTATAACAGCCAGCAAAAAATGAGCCTTGGTGCAGAAAACCATGATTTCAATTGAGTTTTACTGACTAGTGATTTCAATTAAATCCACCCTGCTTTTAAATCTGTCCCTTTTCTCCAAGGGAACGCAGGGTAGCATACATATTTTTGTTTTTGTTTTGCTTTCTTCTGTGAGGCAAATTGAGCTAAGATATACAAAAATTAGTTTGTACAGGGTGCTTAGGGAGGAATGTTCTCTTTTAGAAAACAAAATCTTTAAAACAAGGAATCTGGTGACAGTCTGCTGCCATCCCAATTCCTGCTCTTCCTAGAATAAATTGCAGTGATGTGACAATCCGCCAGCCACCTTTTATAAGCATCACAGTGTCAGTTTTCATCGCTTCCACTCATCTCCATTCTAGGCAGCACAGGAGGTAGCATCATCCTGTGTTCCTGGGAGCAGGACTTTTTTTAAAAAGTAAAAATTAACAAGGCGCACCATCTCCTCTTACAAGATAAGCAGCACTATTACTCTACCCTTTCTCAAACAGTTATAGTGTGCAACGTTTACATCTTCTAGCCCTTTCCTTTCAGCCTTTTCCATTGCATCGTGAAATAACCATCCGGCATGTTACTCCGCCAAGTTACTCCAAGTAGCATTGTTGCCTGTGGTGTACTGTATAACCCCAAAGTTGTGAGAAGAACAATTTAATTTTGTTTTATGAACGGCTGGACAGCTCAGAGGTTTAGGTACAAGGCTATGGTACCAGATGTTGGGAGTTCAGTTCTCCACTGTGCCTCCTTGATAGGGGTTGGATTTGATGATCCGTAGGGTCTTTTCCAGCTCTGCAGTTCTAGAATTGTTGTTGTTATTAGAAAATGTGTTTTCTTTCTATATTTTCAGTGTTGCCTTTCCATTGCCCTGGTCTTCCCACCCTGATGTGCCTGCCTAACCCTTTCAAGTCTTGGTACAGAATTTACAAGTGGGAAGGGGTCTTCCAGCTTTTCACTCACAATATTTACAAGGATGGGTCTGCAGAATAATTTCATGGTGGAAAAAGAAGGAAGAGCCTGGCAAAGGAGGTGGAGGGCAGGGAAAGGGGAAAAAATGTTACTTCCTTTCAGTCTTCCTATCTTATTTCTCACCTGCATATTTCCAGCTAGATGGAAGGTTGTTGTCATCCATCTACTTAAGCCAGTAAGTGTCTGAAGCTGTCTGCATATGGGCTGAAAAAGACTGTGTCCCAAGCTCTGATTTGCATGTCGAAATCAAATTGCAGCATTCCCGCTTTTCTGAGATCTCTTCCTTTCTGTGGGTTGTTAAGGCATTTGTGAATGTGGTCTTCTGTCACAGGTATAATTCTTTCTTATTGGTAGGCATAGTTATAATGCAGAGAAACGCACATTTGTCTTCATAAAGTTAAAATGAATGTTGTGTTTGTGCTGAGAGTTTAAAGGGATGACTCTTCTAGAAACTTCTTTGTGTGTGTTTTTAGCCACTTATTCAGACATACCTTAATTACAAAACAGAAATTTGCATGTTCAGCTAAGATCAGAAAAAATCACGATGGCTTGTTTATTCAAAGAGTGATGAAGATAGACCTTTCTAAATGTGAGTTCTCCCCTGGCTGGGTAAAATGCAGTAGTCTTGGTCTTGTGTGAGAGTAGTCCAGTTAAGACTTCATGCATCTTTTCAGATATAAACCATCTTCTCAGGCATATCAAGTGGGCAAATGACGAATTAAACTACTCAAGGGACTAAATGGGGATTTTGAAGGCAACATATTAGATTTCTCAATAAAACCGGTTACAGTAAATTGTGAATGGGAAAAGCAGTGCAGGTAGGATAAGAATTTCTTGGCTGAAGAACCTTAGATACTAATCTAGATGCAACACAACATGGTTGTTTAGAGCTTCCACCCCCAGAGTCAAAATAAGCACAATAAGATCTGTTCAACTTTCAGGAGCAGAAACAAAAATAGAGTGTTGTAGATTTCAGGATATCACAGTGTGGGTGTGAAAGCAAGAAAAATTGACTCGTTTGTACTGTGCTGGAGGAGAGCTTTGTTCATACCCCGGACTGCCAGAATGATGAATAAATCCTAGATCAAACCAAGCCTGAAATATCTTGGAAGGAAAAATATTGAAACTGAAACTGTCCTACTTTGGGAATAACATGAGAAGGTAGGATTCTCCCATAATGCTGGGAAAGGTGAAAGGCAGCAGGAAGAGAGGAAGACCAAAGTACAAGATAGACTGGCTCCCTAAAAAACTACAGGCTTGAACCTGCAAGAGCAGAGGTGTTGAAAATAGGATATTTCATCCATATTTCAATCCTCGTTCATAGGGTTGCTATAAGTTGGAGGTGACCTGACAGCACATAACAGCAACAAAATAGTCAATAGGATGGACTGTCATTGAAATATCAAATAATTAGGATGGGTAAAATGTTGTCTTCGAATGTGGTTCTTGCAAAATAGAAATTGCCAGCAATTTTCAGGACTTGAGTGTAAATATATGACAGGTTTATAGCCTTCTTTTGTAGATGAATTTATGTCACAGTGATGGAGCATAAGTGTTGGCCTGTCAGGTTGCAGGCTGCAGATGAGAATGGATGACTAGATTGTAAAGTAAAAAGTGCATTTAGGGAGAAGTTAGCTTTGCAGCCCTTAATGACATGATTGGGATCAGTTTTTAAAAGGAGCTTGAGCTGAGTAAGTGACAGCCAGTAGTGTTGACATCCACCCCCAGATGAGTGTCTGCTGCCAATTAGACATGAAGGCAAAAGGTCTGTTCACTCCTGTGAACAATATTTGGGGGAACAGGAGAGAGAGAGAGAGAGAGAAAGAAAGGATGAATTCAAAGTAGAGTTTTGGAGATGTTGGGATCAGTTTTTAAAAGGAGCTTGAGCTGAGTAAGTGACAGCCAGTAGTGTTGACATCCACCCCCAGATGAGTGTCTGCTGCCAATTAGACATGAAGGCAAAAGGTCTGTTCACTCCTGTGAACAATATTTGGGGGAACAGGAGAGAGAGAGAGAGAGAGAAAGAAAGGATGAATTCAAAGTAGAGTTTTGGAGATGTGTGTTTTTGAGAGAGAGAGAGAGAGAGAGAGGATGAGTTCAAAGTAGAGTTTTGGAGATTTGTGTTTTTAAACTACAGCTCCCAGTGCTATTTCCTGGCCATGTTCCTTTAGGAGATCTAGTCGAAAAACCCAAACTGTACATTTCTAGATTAAACAGTGTGTTACTCACTGTTTTTTGTGGGAATGCTGCCAAGATAAAAGGCTTTTAGTAAAGCCATTTTGGCAGAATCCCCAAATCCTGGTTCCTATCTTGATTATAATATGCTTGTGGCCCAAATTAGGCTATGATGTGGCTTTTTTCCTGTATTCTGGCTGCTGTATGAACTGGCAGGTAAACCTGAACCTTGGTGGCTGGGCCCTGTTCGTTCATTCTATGTAGTGTATCCAGCACTTCGTGTTTGCTTCAGAATGCTTGCAGGTGCCCTTTGTTCCTCTGTGCAACCTTTGCATTAGCAGTAGTGCTGGATAATAAATTGGAACCCTAGTCTTTAGATTTTGTAGCTGGTTTGGGCAATGCATTTTCTCCTTCTAATAAAATCAATAAATGTCCATGTCTACTTCCTGTAGAATGCACTTTGAATCATTTTCAGAAGTTTTCTTTTTAGCATACACTGGCTTTTACACATTCATCTCTCTATTCTTACATTCCTCGTAGCATTCAACACCCGATGTACCCTGTTTCCCTGAAAATAAGACCTACCCTGAAAATAAGCCCTAGTATGATTTTTCAGGATGCTCGTAATAGAAGCCCTACCCCCAAAATAAGCCCCAGTTAAGTGAAACCCCACCCTCTACCATTGTGCAGCAACCAGAAGATGACATGACTGTATTTGAATAAATGTAGATTGTTGTACATGAAAAAAAACATCCTGTGAGAATAAGCCCTAGTGCATTTTTGGAGCAAAAATTAATATAAGACCCTCTCTTATTTTTCAGGAAAACACAGTACTTTCCTGAAGCAAAGTACATCAGGTTTTGGAAAGGACTTTAAAGGTGTCATTAGTAGAGGATTCAATGGGAATTTGGAATTACGTACATGGAAGTCTAATATTTTCTTTTATTTGCACTGCCATTTAGGATTCTGTTCATGTGATGGTCATTTTATATTTAATTGAAAAGAATATGAAGCCCTTCAAGTTATGATATCCTTACCTGAGCCTTCTGTTTTCAGATTCCCCCCCCCATCATACTGTGTTGAATCTGATAAGCTTTCATGACATAGAATTCCAGCTCATGTTTGCTAACTGCTCTGGGCAGATTACCTCCAAAGGCTAGTTTATAGTATCTTTTGTTGTTGCCAACAATCCAAACTGAGCAAGTGTGCATTTTGTATGGATTTTATAATGGTGATTCGAATGTGTGTGGTCTTGCCTAAAAATAATTCTTGTTTTCATTTCAGCAAGGGAAACCCTATGTCTTTGATAGAGTGTTACCTCCCAATACAACCCAGGAACAAGTCTATAATGCTTGCGCCAAGCAGATTGTTAAAGGTAAGCAATGGTCAGTTAATCTTCCTCATTGTGCCAAGGGGTTGGGTGTTGGCGGTAGGAATGCATTAATCAGGTTTTAATGCGTTTCTATGGGCTTTTTAATATCGCTTAGCAATGAAATCGCTTAGCAGCGATTTTGCTGCACGGAAAGCAATCGCTAAGCGAGGGACCACTGTACATCAGGTTTTGGAAAGGACCTTAAATGTGTCATTAGTAGAGGATTCAATGGGAATTTGGAATTACGTACATGGAAGTCTAATATTTTCTTTTATTTGCACTGCCATTTAGGATTCTGTTCATGTGATGGTCATTTTATGTTTAATTGAAAAGAATATGAAGCCCTTCAAGTTATGATATCCTTACCTGAGCCTTCTGTTTTCAGATTCCCCCCCCCATCATACTGTGTTGAATCTGATAAGCTTTCATGACATAGAATTCCAGCTCATGTTTGCTAACTGCTCTGGGCAGATTACCTCCAAAGGCTAGTTTATAGTATCTTTTGTTGTTGCCAACAATCCAAACTGAGCAAGTGTGCATTTTGTATGGATTTTATAATGGTGATTCGAATGTGTGTGGTCTTGCCTAAAAATAATTCTTGTTTTCATTTCAGCAAGGGAAACCCTATGTCTTTGATAGAGTGTTACCTCCCAATACAACCCAGGAACAAGTCTATAATGCTTGCGCCAAGCAGATTGTTAAAGGTAAGCAATGGTCAGTTAATTTTCCTCATTGTGCCAAGGGGTTGGGTGTTGGCGGGCACAAAGGGAGGAATAAGTACAAACGGGAGACTCTTGAGTCTCAAGATGTATGTATAAAAATATTGTGACAATGCGGACTTTATTCCTATTTAAAAAGCTCAGACTTAACACATTTTGGTTTGGTGCCATCTTCAGGAGCAAGCGTTTAGAACTTTAGCATCTCATTTGGTTTATACCAGCTCCAAGTGCACAGATCCATAAGTCTCTCTTTTTTCTGTGCTATAGTAAAAATGGAGAAGGAAGAAGTGTGCCTTGTTTTGTTCCACAGAGGATGGAACTATGCACTGCCTGCATTGCAGGGGGACGGTCTCAGATTTAGTATTCTGGTATGTCCAGTTGAGTGGACCAGGCTTCGTCAATATACTCCATAAAGATAGAATCCTCTCTGCTTTGAGGTGGCTGCAAAAGGCATCACCTTTGCAAACAGAGGGCTTTCTGAAAGAAGTTCTCCTGGTACTGCATCTGGTATTTATATTTTGATTAGAGATACTTCTCTCTTCAAACCCTCTTTCTGAACAGAAACATGGATATTTTTGTAAGGGGTTTTTGACTTTGGTGCATGACAAATAATGAGATTATCTCTGATGAGATGAACTTTTGACAGGACTGTGCTGGGAGAACACAGAACAGTCTTCAGTCCTCTAGGCCTGGTGTTCCCGGTCTTCCTATTTGTCAGCATCGCTCATCTTTGAACATGTTAATCTGGCTCAGGTGTTGCCTTTGTCTTGGGTTTAGATTTCCAGCTGCTGGGACTGCTGTTAACCTTATTTGTAAAACTTCTAGAAATCATGTGATCTTGATTTAAAATTTTTAAATAAATAAATTATGTATATCTTCACATATTCTCATTGGCAACCCAGTCCTCAGGATTTATCCATGCAACAACATCTTGGGACTGGGGAGATCTTTTTCAAAAATGGGTTTACTGTGGACATTGTTGTTTTAGTTCAATAATCATTCTACCCTTTGGTTATGGGTGCCTATAGCATTGTTATGTTGACTTGTGGTTTTTAAATTTGGGGAATTCACTAACAGAAAAGTACAGCAACAGTATTTGGTTTCTCACTCCTGCCTTGCTTAAATGTTGTAGGGATAGTTTGGTGTGTGTGTGTGTGTGTACATCTTGGTGTGTGTGTGCGTGCGCGCGTGCGTGTGCACACACACACGTGTATACATCTTAGAAGTATATCTTTCTTTGCAATATGTTAATGCTAGTTTTTGAAGCCTCAATATCAATCTTCTACAAACTGCCTCCCCTCCCATTATTTCATGACATATTCTAGCTGCTTGCTGTTAGGAGGATAAAAGCTTTAGTCCATTTTCTGAGCAGGGAAATGGCTGCCATATCAGCTGAATCTTGCTGACTGGAAAGAATTATGCTCTGTGTTTATTAGACAGTGCTGTCAGAATGGATGGAAATAAGAAATGACCAAGAAATGCAGACTGGTGGGCATTTTGTGTTTTACTGTAGCTATTTTTTTACAAGAGACATCTAGAATCTCAGATAAAGGCAAAATGATATTTTAATGATTTCTTTGGAACAATTGCCTACTGGACTGTTTTCAATCCACTGTGAATAATCTCTTCACTACTCTGTTTATTTGTATGCATGACACCACTGAATAATAAACTGCAGATATTTTAAAGTAGAATACAGAGATGAGGGTGGATCGGAATAAATATAGTAAACCTGATACAATTTTTTCCCTAGTTAGACTGTAGTATGGCAAAGGCACCTAGGGTAAATTTGTATTTTTTTGTGATGACAGCTGTGTGTTTAATGCTTGATAGAATAATACAAGTGAGAAAAAGCAGAGTGTGTTCCTGCCCTGAGGAAGCATGCAGACTGCTTGCTAATAATACCAAATGCTCACATTATTTATGTTTAATTGTTCTGTTAAAGATGTGTATACATAGACAGCACATTGTTTATGTATGCAGGGCTGAGCGGGGAGACTCATCCTCCTTCCCTCCCCATTGCTGGACTGGCTAGGTGAGGAGAGAGATGGGGCTGTTGCAGCTGGGCTACTGCCATGATTGGGGCATAGAAAATGACACCGGCCAATGCGCACCGTGTGGTAAGTGGGCCGGCAGGTTCTGGTGGCGGGACGTAATTGGGCCTGCCACCTGTGCCAGCAGGCTTTGTATTCATCTGTGAATGAGAATCCCCTATCTCTAGTGTCTGTCTGTCATGTGGCACCCCAAGAATTGAGAATTGAGGGATTTATAGTCCAATAAAATAAAATAAAGTAAAGTAAAATAAAATAAATCTGAAAATCCCATGCCTTTTTTTCTAGTTAGACTGTAGTATGGTATATAGTATGGTCAAGGCCAAGGATAGAATAGGTAAGGTAGGTGTAGTTCTAACTCATTTGAACATTGTCTCACTTAGCAAGTGTACAAAACTAACCAAATACAGTGGTGCCTCGCTTAACGAGGAAATCACTTGACGATTAGGTTTTTGCGATCGCAAAAGCAATCGCAAAACGGTGATTTAAATGGGAAAAATCTGCTTCATGATGATCGGTTCCCTGCCTCGGGAACCGATTTTCGCATTATGACGATCTAAAAACAGCTGATCGTTGGATTTCAAAATGGCCACCGGGTGTACAGAATGCCCCCCTGCTGTTTTCTAGGACGGATTCCTCACTTTACAGGCACCAAAAATGGCCGCCCTATGGAGGATCATCGCTGGATGGTGAGTTTTCAGCCCATTGGAACGCATTGAAGGGTTTTCAATGCTTTTCAGTGGGCTTTTTTATTTCGCTTATTGAGGATTTCGTTCTACAGGGATTTCGCTGGAACGGATTATCCTCGTTAAGCAAGGCACCACTGTATACAAAACACTTCTATGCTCAGAAACAAACCCCAGTGCAACATTATTTTTTTCTGTTTGCAAAGTGCAGCACAGTTTTCATGCAGGATATTTCTTTTTCTCTCCAGTCAATGACTGGACATAATAGCAAGCAAGCAAGCAAAGAAACAAACAAACAAGCAAAAGCTTGTTGGCAGCATGAGGAATCTCTGCAGGCTGCTTTCAACCCGTTGGCCAGAGTTTCCTTGCCATAGACACTATGGCATAGAGTGACAAACTTATAATTGTTCAGCAAATCTAGAGCAGGAATCTGTGATCATTGTCCTCAGAAACAGGAGCAATTTTCTAGGCAGCCAGGAAGCTTCTGGCATTTGATCAACTTCTTCCTGTGAACCTATGCAAATACCCGTTTTCACTGGCTTTCATCTTAGTTTCCTGTCAGAAGAGTTACAGTAGTCTCCAGCCATGAGACTGTGGAGATTTGCTGACAGGCAGAGTGGCTCTATTGCAGCTAGGTTATTGTGAGCTTCCATATGGCCAATTTTCAGGAGAAAAGTGGGTTATCAATCTAATATATAAAGTAAGGTTTGCCTCCATTCAGGAAAAGAATAGGTAATCTTGTTGCAAAGTATTTAAAAGTTAATACTGACTTGAGCTGGAACAAAATAACCAAGTATCCATCAGCCGTTTTGCTGATACTCTGTTGGTATTTCATTTATAGTGCTTTCTGCCTATAGTTCTTTTCCTACCACCTATGTTCTGTTTTTTTTTTCCAGCAGTTGTTAGTAACTGTTCTTCATTTACCAATGCAGGCGTGTGATGCCCTTCTTTAATTGGGTATTCACATCTAAATATGTTAGTACTTTAGGTGCCCTTTTCTTGAAAGTCTGTTTTTTTTTTTGTGTATGCTGGCATTAAGTTAGAATCATGAGTGCTTCTTTTTCCCTCTGATGTAATAGAAATAGCCAGTAATATAATTCTAAGCATTTTTACTCAGAATTGAGTGAATTGACTTCAAGAAAATGTACTCAAAAGGTGGATAAAATCAATTATTTTTCAAAATCAGATTGATTTAAATCATCAAAAACATTAATTTTTTTTTAAAAATGTAAGTCATGATTTAATTCAAATTCACTCTGCCCACTCACAAATGTGCTTGTAAATCGACTAGGAAAAAAAGTGAGGAGGGGAGGAAGTGGCAGTCATCTGTAAAAGATTGGCTGCCCTTCTAACTGTTAGTCCAGTAACCAGTCTTGTTTTTGTTTCTCAGAAAGGCTTTCCCTTGAGGTTTTTTGAAGCAATCCTTTACTCAAGCATGTTCTTCTTAGCTAAACCCATTTTTGAGTTCTGCCCGGGGATTACTCTAAGCAAGCTTGTGTGAAGGACAAAAAAAGCAGCAACTACTGGCAGTAACTACTATTACTAGGGGAGCCAGAATTTAATCTTCATGATAGAAAATTTTTAAATACTGTGAATGACAGCTAAGTAGAGGGGATGATATAATGGGAGATATTTCCTGAGAGCATTTGCAGGTGCCTCTCCTTGGTTCACCAAAGGCAGAAATTCAAAAACAGGATTAGAGCATATGAAAAGATTGTACTGTACATCCATATATATTTCATAAATGATTGCCGTGTGTGTGTGTGTGTGTGTGTGTGTGTGCGCGCGCTTTAGCCAGGGTGGTTAACATAATTGATTAGTTCTTCAAAACTTGAGGGCCACCTCGTTTGGATGTGGGTAGCTGATGAAGCTTTATGTACAGGAACAGTTGAAAGCCAGCAAAAAAATTTAGAGCCTAAAAGAGGGACAAGTAAATTGGCCAATAATTCTAAGTGTTAAGAACCAATGTAAATGAACTGGGTGAATGGTCCAGTTAAGTATGGACCAAATCCAGGACATTCCCTTGCCATACAGCTGCTTTTTCACAAAATCAGCTTGTTGATATAGGAGCAAGGCAGAAAGTTGAAACAGGAAGGATGTGGTATTCTTCCACGAGGAGAAGCAAAACACCCACAAACCAGATTAGCAGAAAGAATGGCATATGGGGGTGTATTGCTGTTGCACAAACAGTATTGGGACAGATAACTGAGCTTATGTTAAAAGATCTGTGTAATTGTGACTCTGTTAGTGTAGAAAATTCATAAATGTGGGAGGAGTAAGGGCATGTGGAAGGAAACACATAAACGTTAGAGACTAGACTGCTCTGTACATTATAAATTGGGGACTGGGTTTAATATTGATCCTTCCCATGTGACATTTGCAGTCCTGTGTTAATGTGACATGGAGTGGAAGTGGGATTATCCCAATTTTTCCATAGTGTGAGAATCCGCCTACTGTAAACATAAAGATGTGGCTTTGTCAGAATCATCAGTTCATGATACTGAAAACATGTGCCTTCAGTTGATTTTGGCATGCTCCAGTCAGCACCATTCCCCTGGACAGCTCCATGCATAGAAGAGAGCTGGCTTGAAATGAAATAAATCAGTATTTCATTGCACGTTAAAAGTTTTTCAATTAAGTGCCTTTAGCCGTTTGCTTTGTGTAAGAGACGGAATGAGGAACATTACTGGCTAAATCAAAATATGATTAGCAAAAGTGTACATTAAAATAACTGCCTCAAATCACATTGTGATTAAGTTCTCAGAAATTAAAATGCACAGCAATATAGCATAAAGCCTTCTGTTATGCTTCTATAAGGAAAATAAAGGTGTAACTTGAGATATGGTTGTGTTTGTTACATATAAGTACTGTAATGCTTAAAAGGGAGGCAGTGACCAAAATCCTATTGCTTAGTTTAACTTTAGTAAGTCACACAAGAGTTGGCCCACTGAATCAATAGGAATTTGGTTAGTCAGCTGTTCTGTAATTTCCATTGATTCAAATGGGTCTGTTTCCAAGTGCAACTTTCATTAACATAGTATCACTTAGAATAGACCCATTTAGTTCAATGGGATTTATGGAGGAGTTGGTTCATCAAATCCTCATTGATTTAATGGGCTTATTTTAGAGCAATTTACTGTGTAAAATAACAGAATTTTGACTGTTGGATATTTAGAATTTAGACAGCAAGACAACTTTGCCACTACTTGTTCTGTCAGTTTCATAGACTGTAGCATGGTGTAAACCTGCTAGTCTCTAAGGGCTCCCTCTGCCTTTAAAACCAGAACATCTGCTTGGAAGACAACAAACTTGCAACTATAATCTCTTTGTTATCCACTTTGAAATAGTGGTTGAACCAAAATTTACTTGGCTGCAAATAACATTCTTCACCAATTTTGCAAGGAATGTTATTTTATAAACACAGAAAACAAGATTTACTCAGAATAATTTTCTATTTTAAAAGAGATAAATTGTTACCATCAAAATGAAACTTGTGTTATTATAGCTGATTATCTTAAATTTTCTTCCCTTCTTATAAATTGCTTTTATTAAGATCTAACTTCTTAATTGTTTCAAGATTTAATGCTTGGAAAGAATTTTTGTTACTAAGGAATATTGTTATAATCTCCATATCTAGGAAATTCACAGAATATATAGAAGTGTCAAAGTTGATAGGCATTCGGCCACCTGAGTTCCTTGTTCAAAGGAATGATTATATGATTATTTTAAAATCACTTCAGGGAATAATAAAATCTTTTTTGTGCATTTATTTATTTTCCTAATTATTGCTGATTAGAACTGTCTTGATTATGTGAGCAGATTATGCTGCTTGTTGGGAAAACACAATTTAGTAGATACTGTATACAAGTCCTGTCATTTTCATTGCTTCTGGAATTAATAATTTGGTACACAAATAGAAAAGAGGCACCTAGATTTTCAGTACTGTTCAAAGGGACTTAGTGGTTGGCCTACTTTAGAGTGCACAAAACTTTGATGAAGCTTATTTTAGGGAATAGAATTATAGGACTGCAGTTGTGCCTGAGAAAGTAGAACGAGTTATTTTCACTAAATATAATGTGAGAATGTCTTCAATATGGTCTTGTCACAATTATAGTATTAAAACTTTTGATTTTTGTAATGTTTTTGATTTAGATATGTAAAATATTTTAAACTAATATAAAAGTTACTTTCCAAAATTTGGGGAAAATTCATAATGGTGTTCAGTTGGGGCATATGTGTATAGATATAGAAACACTCTCCTTCATGTTCAATGAGTTTTACTCATTCTTCAAAAGAAATATGAACTGAAAGTAACTTTTTTCTTCCAGATTGCCTATTTTTGCCATCTGATCTACAGCATAGAATATTTTGGAGACTTGAGCTATGAAGCAAAGTCATCTGTATTTATAATAATGGAGAAGTTAAGAGTTTGCTTTTATTTATGGCCATCTACACTAACGGTGTGCTGAAGGTTTGCCACTATTATTGTGGGGCTGCTTCTCCATTCCTGAGAATGTTTTCTCTTTCTCTTTTTGGTGGCTTTCCTAGGAATGGGAGAAACATCAATTTTTTTAATGTAAGAGTAGGCTTACTAACCTTACCTTATGGATGACCGGGTTAAGGGTTCTCTTTTGTGGTTTTTTCTCCCCTAAGAATTTTAAAAAGTCTTACTAGCTGCTCTTTTATTGGACTTTGTTTTGTAATTTAGGAATTTTTCTTCCTGTGCAAGATCAGAAAAAAAAATATTGGCTGCATTCCTTTAGAATAGAATAATAGAATAACACTTTATTGTGTTTGCATGTGCATCACTCATTCAGCTAAAACTCCATGTACAGTATACTTCTTACAAAATTCCAGCGTAATACAACACTGACAAAATAGTCCTCCACGGTGGTTTTTAAACTCCATGTAAACTCCTTACAAAATTCCAGCGTAATACAACGCTGACAAAATAGTCCTCCACAATGTTTTTTAAGCGTGGTTGGAAGAGCTCTGGTTTGCACTGCAGTAGCTGTTGCTCAGAGAAAACTAGTCTCCCTTTTGGTCCCCTCCACACTGAACTCCCAATCCAAATCTGGTCTTTTGTTCATGGCCATTTAGGTGGACACAACTGCATTGATTTCTGTGGCAGGTGTTTTCCCATAGTGCAGCTTCAGCGTGAGGAACTCTGAGATTTGAATTGGCGTGGTTGAGCCTGGGGAGGAGGAAAGGTCGAACCTTTCCTGTCAAACTGTGGTTGAGATTGTTGTATTGTTCCAGGTAGGGAAAAAGTCATATTATGACTGGGCCCACAGAGTGTTTGATCCTTCCCAAGCACTGCAGTCCCATCCAAATTGAGGCACCCCCTGGTTTACTATTGATTTAAACACCCACTCCCAACACCACATTTGGACCTGGGGAATATAGCTAGTTCATTTTCTTGATTGTGCACAGAAAGAACTGTGGCAGAGTACCTTGCTGGCTATGAAGAGCGTGCAGTGTGGCCTTGAAACATTTTTTTGCTTTACCTTTTTTAAAGAACAACCTTTATCATCTAATCCAAAGAAGTCGAGCTGTTCTGCATGCATGGGAGAGTCTTTTCTGACTTTCCAAATTTTGCGTGCTCTGTCTTTTCTCACATGTGCACTTACATGTGAGCAGTTGAAAAGAGCTGAGCCCAGTTCTGATCTAGGCTTTTGTGCTGCTATGTTTAAGATGGAAATAGCCAAACTGCTGTGACTGAGCTTCTGGCATACTGTTTTCCATTGACCAAGAAGACAAAGGCGTATAATGCCAACCTAGGTGGGGCAGAAATAAAACGCCAACATTAGAATGGGTGTTTATTCCTTTTATTTGAAATTTAGGATAGTTCATAGCATGTACTCTTGAAAAAAATTCTTTATGCTCGAAAATGAGTAACTGGACACTAGCCAGTATCTATCTATTCAGGAAAGACGTAGGAAGCAATAAAGGACATTATTGTCTAAATTAGATCTGTCTTTCAAAAAAAAAGCATTTCTCTGTATTATCCCAGCAGCATGTAACATCTGTATATCTTCTACTGGATACTTTCATCTAATTTTCCACTTCCTTCTTTTTTAATGACTAAATGATGACTAATGCATACAGTGATGATTTTAGTGTTCTACAAAAATGTCAAATTCCCTTTCTTTTTCTTCCATCTCCCCACCCACCCACCCCCTTTTGCCATTTAGATGTCCTTGAGGGCTACAATGGTACAATTTTTGCTTATGGTCAAACCTCTTCAGGAAAAACACATACCATGGAGGTAAGAGTGGTTCTTAAAATATCAATTTATTCACAATAACAGTATGTGGAAATAAGTGAAACATATTTTAACTATGAAGTAGAATATAAAATAACATTCATCTGAAATCCAGTGGTAAATTCCAACTAAAATAAGTCTATTGAATTAGTGGGGGTTGGGTGATTCAATACTTATGCAGGTTCCATTGATTCAATGGGCCTACTCTAGTCGTGACTCATTACTGGATTTCAGTCACTGAAAGCTGTGGCATGCATTTAAAACATACTGGAAGGGTTGTGTTGCAGTCTATTACTAGTATGTATTGTTTTGCTTAGTTTGATTTGCGTGTTCTTTTATCAAAGAAGCAGCAGCTGCAGTAAGACATGGAGAAACTTAGCAGGCATTATCAAAGATCAGTAATTACAGTCACCCATACTGAATAGAAATTTCATTCTGGCAATAGCCAGGGCAAATTTCAGCTAGTGGCTAATGCATCACTTGTTTAGCAGACTCAAGAGATGCAAAGCGTGGCCTTATATATGTTCTTGTGCTGCTGATCTCAGAAGTGTCCTAAAGCTGGAAGGACAGGGCTGGTAGAGATACACAAGTATGCAATTTCTTTCTTGCAGAAATGCAGTTCCAAGCACAAAAAATAATGCATTTGGTCTTTGTTTCCATGAAGTAAGAAACTTCTGTTTTGTGACCAGTCTACAGAAGTGCAGCTGCCAGGCAGTATAGAAGTGTAGAGAGCAATGCAGAGATTTCACTGAACCTGGTCAGGTAGCAGAATTCTAGTTGGCTGGCAAGCACAGAGATAATCTGTAGACCCTGTAACTTTTCTCAGTCTTCTTATTGTGGAAGCCCTGAAATGATTTGGATGAAGCCCAGAAAAACGGGTTCAGAATTCCCAGATTTACACATTGATTGGCAAATAGGCCATTGTCTTGGATGAGGATAGAACTGACCCTCTGATAAGCCAACCTTGTGCTATCCTTTCCAGCCAGTATATACTTAAGCTGTAACCATATGAGCAAGCAGACACTGCAGTTTAATGTTAACAAAATGACAAGGGATTTAAAAAACAGTGGTTAAAACGATCACATAAAAAGAGTTCCCTTACAGGATAAACTCCCCTTTGCACAGTGTAAGATGCTCTTGTCCTTGTCCCATTCTGTCTAGTTTAAAACAGAGAGGGGAGGTCCCAGCTTCAAATCTGGGCTTTTCAGCTAAGCTCCATTCTCATGAACACAACTTTACTAGCTATTTTGTAGACCATAGGTTGCATAGATACCTCAGTCTACAAGATGGGAAACACAAACATTAACAAAGGAAAAAGATAGAAAGAATTGTAGATGAAATTTCAATCTGTAATGGGATGATTGAAAGCAGGAAGCCATGTACAGTACTGAAAAACAAACACTTGGATGTACATAAATATTTCTATCTAAATTAGAATTATCTGAATTAGGAAAAATTCAAAGTGCATATATAGGTGTACATGGGCTAACCATAACACTTCTGAGATGCAGCATCAGAAGCATGCACTTGCAAACACATACAACATGCAGTTCAAAAATGGTCAACATGAAGCACTGCATTTAAAGTAAGATTAAAAGTCATTATATAATTATTCTTATGCATTCATGGGGTGGATGGCCTTGCCTTGGCTAATGGCAATAAGCCTCATCTGTCACAGAGTTGGTTATTTTTCTTCCAAATGCACACTTGTCAAAATGACTGCCTTCCTACTATACTGATATTTTAGGTGACTTGTATCTCTTAAGTCCTGTAGAAACCTAGCTGCTGTTCATGTGAGAGAGCAGTGGAGAGCTTTGCTTATCCCTTCTTCTGTGCGGGGTGGGTGATGTTCCACAAACTCAAACACATAGCTTTGCTCTCACCTCCCTTTCTCTTGCGCTGGAAAAAAACAAGAACAGAGGTAAGCTAATATATTGGTGTTTGGCATTGTGGCAAAGTCCTGAGGCTGGGACTTACTTAGCCCTGGCTGAGGGTGTGTTTTTCTTCTCTCGTTGGCTTCCCTTACACAGGGAAGGCCAATCCCAGATTCAAACAACTCTGGTTGGGAAATCTATGATATTAGGAGGCCTGGTCATGTCTATGATGCTCTCTGGATCATAATGGTGACACTATTTGGTATTGGCAATGCGTGTGTTAGGGTTAGTAAAGGAGTGTAATGGCTTTTCTGGTGGTATCTGGGGAACTGATAGAGTGCCTTTGCCATCATCCCCAGAATCTGTTAGAAAGAGTGGGTCATAGATGATATTGCTATTCTTTCCCAAATTGGGTTTAGTGAAGATTTTCTTATCCTGAAGGGAACTGAAGACATGCAGACTGCTTTAAAGGTCTAAAAACATTACCACTCTCTTACGTGTCCAGAGTGCCCTTGATCTGTAGGCCACTCACAGCAGTGTCTGCATAATCAAGGCTATCTTGAAGGTGCTCAGATGTTTTAGAGCAAATGCATACAGATGCTATTGGGGAAACAGAGGTTTAGAGTTTTTATAGCTTTGCTGCTTCTCTCTGCCGTTCCATCTGCACCCCTCCCCCATAAGTTAAGCACAAAAATTACTCAAGGAAAACAAATTAAATCTTGGTTACAAGTGAATCAGCCCACAGCCTACATATAATGTATTTGTGTAAATGGGTTGTGCAGATGGTTGAAGGCTGCTCTCGTAGGATGTATCACATGCACCTTAGAAAACATGTATTCTCATAAAATGGCTGATTTTCCCAGTAGCTTTTTTTTCTTCCCCCTTTAAAGAAGGAATAAATGCTACCTCTTCTCTAGCTAAATCGTTGCTACCTGTTGAGAGAATATGCTTGGGATTGGAGAAGGCAGGCGATCACCTGCTTTTTCTGTGCAGATGGTGCTACAGCACACTAATCCGCCAGCTCAGAATGTAATTAAATCAAAATGTGTGTGGTAGTTGAGCTGAGGGAAGAAAAAAATCTCTTCAAAAGCCAATTTACCTTCAGAATTACAGGGAGAGATTATGATAGGAAAGAGGGTGTTTGCTCCCTATTTTTATATTATTCTTGTTGGAAGGCTTTAAATACAGATCCTTGCCCATACAATTTTTTAAAATCCCTCTTTAATTCCAGCTTTCTCTGGTAATACTATTAAATACATCTTTTTGGGTGGTGGAAATGCCTCTAAAGAAAAGGGATCATGAATGCCTTCATACAGACATTTTCCAGAAAAGAAGATTTCACAAGAATGTCAATTCTAGGACAGGACTTCAGCAGCATTCTCATTGGTCTAGCTAGCTTCCAGTTGTGTGACTGAGGAGTCTTCTGAAGTGGGGAGTGGGACTATTGTTGCAGCAAGAACAGATGAATTTTAAGAACTTCCATGTTTATAGTTTAACAAGTTTAACATTAAAAGTGCCAGAGCTGTTCTTAAAGCACCACATCTAATGGAACACCTCCCTCCTTGGAAATGACCATACTGTATAAGCATTCACAGGAGGGACCTTGCAAACTATCCTACAGAGACAAAGGTGCTTGAAATACTTGAAACAACTTCCACAGAAGCTGCCAGTTTTGCTCCAAATTAAATCTTTTTTTTTTTTTCAAAAATCATCCGTGGGAAATGGAAGCCATTATTTCTTTTTCCAGCTCTATAACTATTAAATTGAAATTGTAGTTGTAATTTTATGATTTTATATATTTTTATACTGTTTTGTTTTATTTTGTAAGCCGCCCCGAGTAGACATGGTCTAGAGGGGCGGGGTAAAAAATCAAATAAATAAATAAATAAATAAACTATCCTGGCAAACTCTTGGTGGATGCAATAGGAAGTGACCTCTAAAGAGGAAGAGGGGTAAAAAGATAAGACTCTATTCAAGCCTGTAATTCCAGTCAAAGTTTCTTACAGTGTTATGCTAAAGGTGTGTATCAGGAGGTGGTGAAATGGAACAGTGGTTTCCAAGCTTAGGGCTTCTCAAGTTCTTGGCTGTAACTTCTGGAGGCCCTTAGAAATACCAGAGGCTCTTGGTTGTGCTGATTAAGGTTTCTGGGTTTTATAGACCAAATATATTTATAGGGTGTAGGTTAGGGCTGCCTAGTATTAATCTACACTTGAAAGAGAGAATTACACATATATGTGCTTTCTTAAGTGACCATATTCACACCAACCCTTTTAATAACTAAAAACCATGTTAACATCATTTTAAGCTACTAGATTTATTAGAGGCTTTTTCTCCTGTTAGCTCTCCACACCCATTGAATTCAATGTTAATGTGTTAATTCTAAGACATTTCCAACTTCTGATCTTTCTATAGACATGAACTTCATCAGGAATGATTATTAGTATCATTTCTTTCTTTCTCTTTTTCATTTCTGCCTCCCAACTGTTGTAGGAAATTGGTGGATGGAAAAAATCTAAGCAGAAATCGTAGATCTAGCAGCTATATATAGTTGGCTAGTTTTTCATGTTTAATTTCCTTCTGAATGGCTTAAATATTTAAGCTGGCTGCCAATCCACCCATTCTGTTGTGCTGTGGAGCAGCGCATGATATCCAGAGCAAGATGTGGCTGAGAACCCTAATTAAAACTGAGCGATTTGGTAGCTTGCTTGTCTGTGACGCAGCACATGATGCTGGGTTTCCAAAAGGTAGAAGAACTGAGGAGGGTTCTCCTTCTCAACACCCTCCTCCCCACATGTACATACACACACATACACAGATGGATTGACTGCACTAATGCTTCTAGACCATTAGGGCATAAGAGGTACAATATACTGTATAGAGACCTCTGAGGCTTCTGGTAGTCTTAGATTCCGGGACTCCCAGAACTCCTCAGAAATAGAGTAGGTTCCTTGCTGTGCTTCTGGGTGTTGCAGTCCAAATACGGACCAGGGATGGGCAGCTTTGGTTAAATCTAGTTTTGGAAGGAAAATACAGACCCTTTTCCCTTTTGGAAAGAGATATGTGGAATGTCGTGTGCCTCTCTGCAAGGGGCATACCAGAATATTGTTTTAATTCATGTTAATTTTATCAGTTAAAATGATAATGATAGTTTTAGGAGTCAGATGTTCTGAAATTTAAGCATTCATAGCAACATGTTAATTTCCCAATTCCTAATTTTTATCTAATTAATTTTCAGACGGAATGTTCCAGGCTCTGATCTTTAGACACACGTTGTTGGGGGGCCGGGGGTGGGGGGTGGGGGAGAGCACACTAAATTGTTCTGTTATTTTTACACAGGAGCTCCAAGTATGCTTTCATTATGCTGCATTTACAAAAGCAAAACAAAGAAGGGGCACTGCTTCATTACGGTTGTGGTGCTGACTAATTTTTTGTTTCCAGAGGAAAAGTGAAAAAGGGCATGCAGCCAGGAAAGATGTTCTTGCCTTTCATCTTCAAAGGCCTCTGAATATTGCAAAGGAAGCTGACCGTGCAAGCTGACAGTCATGCTGGCAAGGCAGCCTTTCTCTGGCACCAGGCCCAGCAAAACAACCCACAGCTTTATCTTCCATTAATGTTCATCTGTGTGGCTGTCTGGTCTAACAGAGACCTTGACTGCATTTTCCCAAAGAGGATTTAGTTCTTCTGTGTCTTTTGAGATATGCAGGTGGATCTGGCAGAGCTGGATTCATGTCCCCCTCCTTGCCTTGGAGGCTATGATTCGTCTGCTGTCCTTCCATTTCCTATGTGTAAATTGAGTGTAAATTATTTTCCTCATTCCTAGGTTTTGCCACATAAGAAGCATCACTGTTCTAATGCCTAGGATTGTTGTGAAAACTAAATACAGCTAATTTGTTTTTGTTTTTTTGTTTTAATCTCTGTGTCTTTAGGGAAAGTTACATGACCCACAGCTAATGGGTATAATTCCAAGAATCGCACATGACATCTTTGATCACATCTATTCCATGGATGAAAACCTAGAATTTCACATAAAGGTAAATGCAAAACGACAGGTTATATAATGGTCCGATTAAAAAAAGAAGATATATGTGATAGGAAATCTCAGTGACATTCCTTTTTTTTTAAACGACTTCTCCCTGGCTGTGTACATTTTATGCTGCTTTAGAATACATTTGTATGTATCTACCATATTTCAGTCCAACAAAATACATGTCAAGAACAGGTTGGTGCTTTACATATAATATCATTTCTCCAATTTCTGCATTGAATTCTTCAGCAGAAAGTAAAATGAGTTTTCAGGTACCTGCATTTTTGAACCAAAAGGTTTTAGTGAGAGTGTGTGATAGAGAAGGAATTGTTGTTGTCGAACATGATTTGGTAAAAAGTAGATTTGGGAGTGTTTATAGTTTGGTTTGGGGGACCTGAGACTGCAGAGTTCTACAAAACACTTTTCCTTTGGGAATAGAGACAATCCTATTTTGAACTGGCACACTTGCAATTTTGCAGTGAAAAGAAAGTTGTTACATGTCACTCTTAACGATATGATCAAGATTTAAGGGCTTAGTACATCTTAACACTGGCTGTATTTAAAAGCTTTAAGAGGCTGTTGGATAATCCCAGGGTGAGCTATTGAGTCAAATGTGGTTCTTATGATGGGATTAGTTTTGTACCAGGCTGATAGTGTTTTCTTCGATTGGCATAGGTTTGTGTTAAGGCAATTGTTAAAAAAAGAAAATAAGCAGGAAAACGTGTAAGTATTTCAAAGATTAAGAATATTACTTGTTCCTTAGTATTTTCTAAAATGCTTCCACTTTTTTAATTATTATTATTTCAGTGCTGAAAAGAGAAAATGCTTCATTTAGACTGGCAAGAAAGGTCATAATTCATAGGTCCTTGCATGGGATATTGACCTCTGCATGCTGTCACATGTGGAAGCACTCCTGGTGCCCAGTGAACAAAAAATGAATGGTGCCAGCTTTACTGCTAGGGAGGGAAATGGACACTGATTTAAGTCTCATCTGTCAGATGACTGACTGGTAAATAGTTGCAGAAGCATTTGGATTTGCTTAATTGGCTTTTCAGTGGTCAGTTGAAGGAGTGTATCCAGGTACCCCCTCCCCCCAGGTGACGAAGGTGAGAGTGCCAACTACGAAGTTATGGTTGGGAATTTGAAGTATGTTTTGGTTTGTAGGTTCCTGCCTTCTCCCTCCCCTGGTTAGTATGCTATGGCAACAATAGTAAAAACCCTATTTGTGTTTGTGTGAGCTTTTTGTAACCTGCTGTGGTTAATTACAGTTACTTGACATGCTGCTGGGATCTGTCTTGTTTTGTGCCTTGTCTGAGTGTGCACCCAAGACACACTTCGGGACCTTGTCAATATGCTGCTATTATTCATGACAAATGCCAGTAGGATTTTGGCCAGGAATGTTATAGCTAACCATGCTTAGCTTTAATTTCCATACGTCAGTTCAGGACTAGAGGCTCGTTAGGACAGTTCTGAGCAGCATTCCCTGACTCTGCTCCCCCCCCTGCACGGGGTTCCATCATAGCTGGCACCAAAAGGGCTGGAAAGGATCTCTGTGGGTGCACAGAGGAGGAGGAGCTCTGCACGGAGAGGGATGGAGTTGCATGTGCTCAGACAGCTATGCACTTTGAAGGAACCTTGGTTCTGAGTATAGTTTGCCAGCCTACTAGCAGACCATCAGGTCCAAACTACAGATTCTTGTGGAAGCAGCTGCTTGTAGCCTCATTGCTTTTTGCAAAGATCTTCTTGACACCCCTGCTTTATAAGTAATTAGTTTTGTCAGCATGCTAGGTGCTCTGTAGTGTTTCTTAAAAAGTGATCCCACATGAGGATTTTAGTAGTAAAAGAGTTTGCCATAGTAACTAGTATCATAGACTAGTGTTCTGTTCAGTGTTTACCCATGTGTGTAGCACCTGCTGCACATGGCCATGGCAGTGTAATGGGGTGCCAGTCATTCATGGTACAGTGGTGCCTCGACTTACGAACTTAATCCATTCCAGAACATGGTCATAACTCAAAATGGTCATAAGTCGAAGCACCATTTCCCATAGGAATACACTGAAACACAATTAATCCATTCCGGCTGGGGGGGGGAAATCACACACACACACACAAACACACACCCCCATTGCAAGACCCATCGAAAATGTGATTAATCCGTTCCGGCTGAAGGAAAAAAAATCCAAAAAGAAAAAAACCCTGCAAGACCCATTAGAAATGCAAAAAAAGAAAACCAAAAAGCAAACAAACCCTGCAAGACACATCGGAAATGCAAAAAGAAGAAGAAAAAGAAAACCAAAAAGCAAACAAACTCTGCAAAACCCATCGGAAATGGAAATAAAAAACCCAAAAAGCAAACACCCTGCAAGACCCATCGGCAATGGGGGAAAAAAACCTAAAAAAGCAAACAAACCCTGCAAGACCCATCAGAAATGGAGGGAAGCAAACAAACCCTGCAAGACCCATCGGAAATGCCAAACAAACCCCAAAAAACAAAGACTGCAAGACCCATCACAGCACAGAAATATAACCCCCTCAGCCCAAAATCACGCTGCAAACCCCACACAGAACAGGCAGTTTTTAAAAAGCAGAAAGCAGCACCTTACCTTATCAGGCAGTCTGAAGCCTCCTTCAAATGCACACTCTCTCACCACTGGGGTGAAAGAGCTACAAAGAAGCAGCCTCTTCGCTGAACAATGGTTAGCAGTTTGATTTCCCCCACCTTTTTCCCTTCCTTTTTTTCTGTCGTAACTGGAATCTCCAGCCACAAGTCGAAGCAAAATTTTGTGGCCGGAGCTGGTCATAAGTTGAATTGGTCATAAGTCAAGACATTCGTAAGTCGGGGCACCCCTACTTTGTCAGATTGCCATGGCCGCATCTGCAGTTAGAGGTCTTCACAGATATATTTGGAACAGGATACTGTTCATAGAGGTTTGGGTTCATTTTGTGAGTACAGTAGTCCTTAATGAATCAGTGTAAGTAGCTGACTTAGACATTGGGTCTCATTTGAAATTTTGAAGTTCAGTTTGGACATAGATCTTCCTTTCTGTTATTGTTCTTGGATATCCATCACACATACAATATTTTCCCTAGTCTCTTACAAGTAAGAAAAAAAGAGAAAAAATTAGTATCAGCCTGTTCAACTTCTCTTAATATTTTTCCTAAGCAGCTCAGCATAATAACAATTTATTTTCTTTCATACCGCTGTGACATCGAATGCATTTGAATGGCATTGAATTACAGTGGTGCCCCACTAGACGATTACCTCGCAAAAAGGTTTATTTGCTAGACGATGGGTTTTTCCAATCGCTATAGCGCTTTGCAAAATGATGTTTCCTATGGCCGATTTTTGCAAAACGACGACGATTTTTCCCCATTGGAACGCATTAAATGGATTTCAGTGCATTCCAATGGGGAACCGCATTTCGCAAGACGATGTTTTTGCAAAACAGTGATTTTCGCGGAACGAATTAACATCGTCTTGCGGGGCACCACTGTATTTTTCAAAATCCTCTACATGTCAGCGTAACATGAAGTTACAACTAGTATAAATGTGCCAAACATTCTACCTGGCAACAAGGAATTGTGCAGTTCAATTGCTTACAGTGGGGTCTTGACTTGAGAACTTAATCCGTATTGGAAGGCGGTTCTCAAGTCAAAAAGTTCTCAAGTCAAATCTGCATTTCCCATAGGAATGCATTGAAAACCATTTGATCCGTATCTGCTCTTTTCCGTCCATAGAAACTAATGGGAAGCTGCTATTCCGCCTTCGACCACTAGAGGGGGATATTTTGTTTCTTTTTTTCTTAGGTCAAGAAAGGTTCAGGGAAGGCAGGGAAAAGACAGTCCAGGCAGTACAGTACCAGGCAGGCCGAAGACTGTCTCCCAGTCCACTCTCTAAACGCTGGGAGGAGTGAGGAAGCAGGCAGGCACCCTTTTCACTGGCCAACAGTTAACTGAAAGTTCACATTTTGCACTTTCCCTGCTTCCCACGTGGGTTTTTTTCAGTTCTTAACTCAAATCTAAGTACTTAAGTCAAGTCAATATTTTCCTATGAGAGTGGTTCTTAAGTCAAAATGTTCTTAACTCGAGCCGTTCTTAAGTCAAGACCCCACTGTAGTTGTTCATGCATCCCTGGCACCATTGACTGTGCAATGCAGTAGCAGAAGTGCTTCGTGGCTAGCACTTCCACCTCTGCACTCTGCACCTCTGATTGTGTGCATGTAGTTACATGGTAGGGTTTTGCCCGTTGTTTAAGCTGAACATGCAAGAGAACTCTCACCTGAAACACAATGGTCCTGGCATTGAAGTACAGTCTTCTACTGAATAGCCATATGTGCTTTCCTCAATAAACTACACAGTCATTACTGAAACAGATACACTTTAACCATGGGTAGAGGAGATTGTGTTGGCTCCATTGCTCTTTTTCTGTTTTCTTTGCTGTCCTACATGTGGAGAGTGAAGTAAGCTTGTGTGGGGCTGTCCACAAGAATTGGAACCCCAAAAAGTCAGCATCTCAACTCACACAGATAGCATCTAAAGGCAGTGTAGGTTCTCCTTTTCAATCTTCTCGTTTTTCACATGCAGGACAGCAACAAAACCAGAAAAAGAAAAAGGACAAGGCTAGAGAACTTCTCTTTACCCGTGGTAACTGCACCTTCTTTAATAGTCACTGAATGCACCTCTTACCTTGAGCAGGCATTCAGGAAAGGATTAATTTGGAAGGGAGAGCAGGGAGAGTGCTATTCCCTGTCCTGTCCCTGACACTTGTCTCCACCTGCAGGGGAGATAGTGGAGCCTCTCTGGGTGATTGAGATCCCTGATTTTTCAGCATCTCCAGATGCACAGGGAGACTCCCCATGTAGCGGTGTGTGTGTGTGTGTGTGTGTTAGAATTCTCTGCCTGCTCACACTTTCGAGCTAACTCTCTTCTGAATGGCTAAATAAGGCTTGGGATGAAGCTTGTTCAAGCATGGTAATTTAAAAAATGGAGATAAATTCTTAATTAAGAAAAATAAAAAAAAATAAAAGAGACTCTGCTCAGGGACATGCTGAATGAAACTGCCCAGTGTCACTTCCCACCAAAGAGTAACCTACGTCCCTGTTAGAGATAAACATAATGGTGCTTTTGTATGCTTATCACAGCTATGTAATAAGTTCCAGATTGCATTTATATTTGTTGTGGAAGCATATGTGCTCTCAGCCTTCCCCAGACTCGGTTAGGAATATTTGATCCATAGCTTTGTTATGAGCGCAAACAAAGTTTTCTCGGACACACTTGAGACATGTAGCACTTTCTTCTTCTTCTGTAATAACTTCAGTGACTTCAGTAAAAATCCCTATTGATTTCAGATTCTGCGGAGAGAGAGCTCTCCATTTCAAACCGTAGGACTGATGTAATAAAGAAAATAGATTGCGTTAATATCCATTATATTGGCAAAATGCTGTCCAACTGTTGGTTGGTGAAAAGTAAAAGACCCAAGGTTGTCTACCAGAGCGTCTTTGTATAGGAGGTGCCCATATCTCATGCTGATGGAATTAGTTAGGAATGAAAGAGATGATGGTGGAGAGTTTTGCAGTTTTCGCTGTCTTAATTTCAACAATATGTCACCTGTTTGGCCCGGGGGGACAGTGCGGTAGCAAAAATATGTGAATGAAGCTCAGGCAAAGAGATGCTTCTACACCAGAGGTAAGATGGAACACCTGGACATTTAAAATGGAGTTAGCCTGGGATCACTCACTATAAAGCTTGTAGATATTGACAGATGTGAAAGTTTTAAATATGCATATAGTGAGAGTTAAACTGCATACCACACTAAATGAAATAAATATATATATAAAGACTTCAAGTACATGTGATAAACATGTGGCCCTCCAGAATGCACAGGATAAGTAGTTTATGCAGGGAGCATTAAATGGTTATTATCTGTGGGCTGAAACCGGACATCCCTCCCTAATGACTAGAAGGGCTCATTCCATTTGCAGAGAGAACTGTGATGCCACAGAGCAGTGGTCAGGGAACATAGGTAAATTACCCCAAATGGGGTAAAAATGAAAATCCTGGGGGGAATGAGGACGTGACCCTAACCCCCTTCCCTCCTCCTCTGCCCGGAGGAGGGGTCCCTGGCTGCCCAATCGCCCCCTTCCCGCCCCCTTCTCCGTCCGAGTGCAACTGAGCCATGGTGGATGGCGGCCGTCGACGGACCCCGGCTGACGGTATACAGCAGCCGAGGAGGCAGCGGGGCCGGCCATGGCAGAGAGCAAGTCCGGGGCGAGTGGCTGGAGCACCCCAGCCAGGAGGAGCCTTTCCCTCCAGTGCCTGGAGAGATGGATTGCTGTGGAGGGGGGAGGGTGCGGCCATGACGGTGGCCCAGGCCAGGCTCAGCCTCCTGGTGCTGGGACGCCGGTCCATCCCCAGAGGAGCCCACCGGGTGGCGGTGGCGGCACTCACCTGGCCTCACGGCTTCCTTTGGCGGCACCTCCGCGCTGGCTGGCCGGGCCTGGAGGAGCCTCTTCCCCTCCGGGGAGCAGCTGTCGCGGTGCTTCGTTGGCGAGGCCCGCAGCCGCTGGAGCCAGTGCTGGAGCGGGAGGCGGATGCCCCTGGAGGGCGAGCCACCTGCTGCTTTTCGACAGCTGCCCACCAGTGGAGAAAGAGAGCCGCCCCCACGGGCCAAGGACTGAGTGCGGCCCTGCTAGGCAGCAGTGGAGGTGGTGGCAATGGCACTCGACTGGCTGCGTGTGACCGAGATCCTTCCTTTCAAATCAAGGGGGTAATGTCGGCGTATATACATTTTTTAGGGGGTAAAAGGTATAAAAGTTCCCTGACCCCTGCCACAGAGGGTTTATTTTGGAGGAAGGAGGCCATGTGGCAATTTTTGACAATTCACTCTTCCCCTGCAGCCCCAGAAACCCCTATATATATGTATTTTAAAGCATTCCCTAATGTTACAGAGAAAATTGGAAGGAGAAAAGCCTTTGGCAGAATCCTGTCCCTATCCGTTTGGTCTGTAGAAGCAGAACCAGGGTAAGCCTGCTTACAGCTCCCTGTGTTCACAATAGATAAGACTTCCATTTGGTATTTCTGCCACCTTTTCCCAACCTGTACATAATACTGGTGTGCTTTGATTTATTTAGGTCTCCTACTTCGAGATTTACTTGGACAAAATTAGGGACTTGTTGGATGGTAAGTAAAACAAGTCTTAAAAATAGAGCAAACTACAGCTGGGCTCTTAACAGCCATGATGAATTCTTTTCATTACCTTAATGCAGTGTCATACGTTTTTTCAGAGAAACTGTTACAGGTCAGGAACTGTAAATACTTGGACTTTTATCTGCTTTGAGTCATATCTCTGCATTGCAGGAATTTTGACCTGATGTGATCTTCTTGTCCCCACTTTCTTATCTCATCATGTATATACCATAGCCCCTGCCATTTGCTTGCATATTAAATCTTAGAATGTAGCTGTGGTTCTCCAGTTTATGCCCTAAGGCATTTTTGGGCTTTGGTTTCCAAAAGCTCCAGCTAACAAAGCCAGTGGTGAAGAGTCCTTGGAGCTGTATTGCATCTATGGACCTACAGATTGGGAAACATGGAGTTCTTGGACCACATCAACCATTTACAGTAAAATCATGTTACAGGTCTTAAGAATTAAAGTCATCTTTGTGTGTTTTTGTACTCTTCGAGATACACAGAAGCTGTAAAAAGCAAGCAAGCAAGCAAGCAAGCAAACAAACCCCAACAACCCACAAGTGGGACTGATGCATGCAGGATAAAGATACAGTATCTCTATGAACTATCTTCTGTGCTCTGAATATCTTGTACTTGCACCCAAATCTGCTCCCTAACCATCATTTCTTGGATTTCCAAGTGTTGCGTTAGGTCATGAATACCCTAACTATATGCTAGTTGCTGGCATCTTTCAGACTGTAGCTGATGATGATTGTGAATGCTTAAAGCATCTGCACTTAGCAGGAAGTTGCAAAAACAGCTGTTCCGAAAAGCAACTGAAATAATAGGGTTACTTACATTTAAAGCAGGGGTGAGGAACATTGAGCCCTGCACTTGAGTCTGGGTCTCTGGGGTTCCACTGTTGATTACACCCCGCTCTATGTGACACCAGTTTTTGTGTGAGTTTGTTCCATTCAAAAATGTTGAAATGGCTCTCCTGGCAGCTAAGAGCTTGAAGCTAACACTGATAGTATTCTTAGTTCCATCCTTTTGCCTTTGCAGCCTCCCATTCTTTCTTCCAAGAATGCCTGTGAAACTTAGTTCCGTTCTTGACCTTGAAAAGTCACGCTTCATTTAAAATGCATTCCTCGTTAAGGCCTAGCTAGATGGTACATTAAGAACTGTTGGTTTAGTACTGCACATCCAATTTATATCAGTGGTACCTCGCATAACGAGCGCACCGTTTAACGACGAATTCGCATAGTGATCTATTTTTTTAGATCGCTAATGCGACCGCATTGTGATGGTTAGATAGGGTAAAAATCGCATTGCGATGATCAGTAAGCGTTTCGCTTACCAATCTTCGCATTGCGATGTTCCTAGAACAGCTGATCGGCGTTTCCAAAATGGCCACTGGACGCCCAAAATGGCCGCCGCAAGTGTTTTCGTGCCCTGCCCTCGCTTACCGAGGGCTCGAAAATGGCGGTGCTGTGGAGGAATTTCGCTCAACTGTGAGTTTGGGCCCCATAGGAACGCATTAAACCAAGTTTAATGCGTTCCTATGGGTTTTTTTGATCCATTTAGCGATGGTTCCTCATAACGACGATTAATCCGGAACGGATTAACGTCGCTATGCGGGGCACCACCGTACTCCTTCCTTCCCTCTTCTTCTCCTGTTGCAGACCCAGATTCAGACAAGATAATAAGATAATATTCAGATAAGATAATATTCCTTAAAATATAGTTTGTCTGACTTGCAAACTGGAAAAGATGGTTTGATCATTTTTTTGCAAACCATGAATCTCTCCATACTTCTCAGTTTTGGCAGACTATAGTTTAACCAGAAAATCGTCTATAATGCTAGACATGAAACAAGAGGAGGGGTTCCTGGTCTGGGAATGTGAAACCTGAATTGAAGCAGCATTTCCAGCGACAGCCCATCACACTGTTTATTGCCACGGTAGTCCCGAGCTTCCTGGCACAGCAAGTCGACTGATACAGTGTCATTCAGAGCTGCCCGGGTTCCTTCACCCTTGCCCTGTTCTATATTAAACTCTGTGACCTATGTCTAATAAAGCTGTGACAATTTTTCACCTGCTTCAGCTTATTCTTGCTTCTGAATGCAACCCTGCTTTTTTGCTGCAGGCAAATTTATTCTGTACTGCAGCTTCCAATTCTTACGATATCTCTCTTTCACAAGAAAGGCAGAGTAGAGTATGAATGTCAGAGGACAGCATTCTGGAGTTTAGCTGGAGCTCTTCTTGTTTTGCCTTTAAACAAAACTACTAATGGATAAACACTCACTATATTCTTTGATACGTGACATGTGAGTGCCCATTGTGTAACATAAAGGCTTGATTTCTTACGTGGCTGGATCTATTTGAACCACCATACATTCAGATGATTCTCGCCACTCAGCAATTTTGTGTATTTATCTTTGTTAAAATAATTATTTGTTAAAATTTATTTATTATTATTTATTTTCTAAAAACAAGTTTCGAAGACAAATCTTGCAGTACATGAAGACAAGAACAGAGTTCCATATGTCAAGGTAAAAGCATTTCCTCACGTGCAGAAAACTGTTTTCAGTCATTTCATTCTAATGATAACTAGATTATAACTGCTTTGGCCAATGTCCTATTCGGAGCAAAAGGGGCTCATTGTAAGTTCACCCCCTACGCCACTTCAGCAGGCCCCGATCATTCACTTGGTGAGATGAATGGTCACATGGCAGATCTTGCAAATAGCATAAGACTCGGTACACAAATGGCTGCCTGAAAATTCAGAAGGAGCACTTCAGTTGCCTTGCTCCCTGAATAGGATATTGGCCATTTATTTTTAAAAATATGCTATTATTTTTCTGCAAATGCAGACCAGAGCAAATGGCAACAGCAGTAGCAACAGCAGCAGAAAAACTACAGAAAACAACATTCTAAATTCTCTGTGTTAAATATATGAAAAGGCACCAAAAAGGCACCGTTATTGGCCTATTGGAGTGCAGAGTTAATGACCTCTCTCTCTCCAGTGGCTGAGACTCAAGAGAGTTGCACATAGTTATTTCTGAAGTTTCCAGATTACTCACGGCTCAGAGCAGAAGCACTAAGAAACATGGCATGGAAGTCTCTTTTTCAGTGAAACTGGAGATTAAACTTTGGTAGTATACCAGCTTTTAAAAAAAGTCATTTAAAACATATTTATGTTACTTAGTGTTGGTTTTACATCCTTCTGGGATTATCTGTTGAATGTCAGAGCAGATGTTGTAGAAGGTGTGCCTCAGTTATCTGGTATATTGTTCTATGTACTTGTATGCAACATAAGGTTAGAAATGCAGTGTTGGCTGTGTTGATGTAATCACCATGACTAGATGGTGTTTTGTTCTGTTTTCTTGCCTTTTATAAACACTCTTTATCTGACAGAAGTTGCAATTAACATTTCTAGGGCTGTACAGAGAGGTTTGTTTCTAGTCCTGAAGAAGTTATGGATGTCATTGATGAAGGAAAAACAAACCGCCATGTAGCTGTTACAAGTAAGCATTAATGTGCTTCCAGTCTATAATTAGAGCCTTACAGAACAACTGCAAATATCATCATGCTAAAATTATGGGTAATGTTTGCAACACTGCCTGTTATGGTACAGAAAAGGTACAATTGCCTCATTTACTTGATTACTCTTCTCATTGTGACTCAGAGTTTTATGCTACTGTTCATTTAGCATATTTGTAGGAGAGACTGTGGTTTGTGTGATTTGAAAGGAATTTTCAAAATTATGATCCCCAATTTTTTAAAAAAGAACTGGTTTTGGTATTAAATTTATAATATAATGACTGAATTTCTTCCTCTGTAGTGATCAGAGATAGTGAGTTGTTTTTTGTTTTTGCTTTTGAAGACTTACATTAGATTATATCTTACTGTTTCACTACCAAGTGTGTTAGCATTAATCTGGGTTAGGTGTTGTTAAGCTTCATGTGGTTGTTCATTTTGTGAATTGCAAGGCTTAGCGGCATTGGGTAGAAGTGATGACAAACAGCAGGTTGCCTAGAGAATTCAGAACTGGGGAGGAAACATTAATGGCTATATGTTATCTTTATGAAAGGTTCCATATTCTGGTTGCTGCACAGCTTTATTCATTCGCTGGTGAGGAACAGTATTGAGAAGGAATCATGTAAAATTTCAAGGGGGGAAAGTCTGTTAAAGCATATGTGACTTTCCATCCTACTATAATAGTGTGCTGTTTTTAGCTTTTGTACTGATCACTTTTAATACTGTAAGCTGCCTTGAATCCTTCTCAGGATAAAGTATTAAAGTGTTTTAAATAAAAAATAAAGAAAGAAATATAAAATTAATACCTTTTTTTTTTAATTGACTTAAAAATTTTTAAGCCTGCCCTCATGGATTTTGTTGAGTCTCTGTTGTACATTTCCATTGACTTAAAATGCGTGGTGCCTCACAAGACGACGACCTCGCAAAACGACGAATCTGCATGATGACTAGGTTTTGTGACCGCCATTGCGCTTCGCAAAACAGTGCTTCCTATGGGGGAATTTCACTATACGATGTTTCGGTTCCCCTTCCAGGATTCCCGGCCTTTTCCCCCCAGAGTAGGAGAATGTGCCCAGTTCCCCTCCTCCTCTTGGCTTCCCTCCCCTCCCACACCAAG